CGTGATGACCCAACAAGCTACGCTGGCTGGAACCAATGTTCCTGCAGGTCCTACCATACCAGGAAGGTTGTTAGAATAGCAATTGGACTAAAATCAGTTACCGACTTAGTGTAAGAATTTTCCTCCACTATGCTGCGGGTCTGCGGGCGAAGTCGTACTGCTGGGGAACAGGGGTGTAACAGTAGTGAGGTGTTTCCTTCAGATGACCAGCATGCCAGCTATGCTGTCTTTCCACTCTGGAGAGAGGGGATTAGAGAAGGTCGACCACAAAAATTGTACATCCCGACTTACCCTACGGTGGTCCGTAACCGGCGGTATGTTTACTAAGTTTACGGAACCAATCCCAGAAACCAGTTCATACAGGCCGTATGTGACCGGCCTCAAGCAGTTGTCCCCTGGACTCTGCGGTCACGCAACACTTTCTGTTTCACGTACCCGAAGAATCAATCAACTTCCTCGGTATGGGCAGCCGGAAAGTAACAACCGCCTACACACTTCCAAAAGCACACTTCCTCTAACAATACAACTAATGTTAACATTAAATTACCACATTGTTCAATTTAGTACGAGCACCTAAATGGGAACATTTATGATCAAGACCTGCAATATTTACATGTCTTGATTCCAGCAACTACATCTCGGATACTAAGTAGCATAAAAAGAACTCCTGACAGGCAGCAGGTTACATTACTGGTACTAAATATGACAAGCTGGGAAAAACAGGACGAGTGTAGTACCCCATGGATGCTGAGTGTTCGTCAGTAACTAGTTATACAGACACACCACGAGGTGTAAATGCAAAACGATTTTATAATCCATGCTGAATAGACAGAAGACCAGTAGTTCAGTGAAGAGTCTCTTCTCGGCGGCGAATTCATTTTCATAGCTGTACAGCCGTAAATATATATATGTATATATATTGTTGTTTTGTATGTGTGTGTGCATTAAATTTGTCAAATGAAAATACAATTAATAAGTTCAGGTGAATTGGATGTTGATATAAGAGGATAGTAACAAAAGTGATGAGTTGTCACAAATGATTGTTAGACAAGAGTTACGTAATAACGTGGATAGTTTGATGACAGAGTTGTACTCAGGGTGTACATGGAAACAAAATAACATACGGAATTTTACGTAAGGGTTTTAAGTAGTTAGGAAAAAATAAGCATACAAACAAAAGTTAAATCAAATCAAGCAAACAAACAATTCCTCAATTACATTAAAAATATCAATGTAAAGAACAAGAATGTGCTCTCTCTCGACATTGAGTCACTATTCACCAACGTTCCACTCACAGAAACTGTCTGTCACATTTGTCAATATGTAGACAAAAATCAGCTGAACATCGGATTACTAACGACTTGTTTAAAAGAACTACTACTGAGATATACACATTCAACGAAGTTATTCACAGACAACAAGATCGGATCGCTACTGGATCCCCATCGGACCCATTACTAGCAGACTGCTTCATGGCAAGCCTCGAGAACGGCCCATTCAAACCAACTATTGACAATTTCCAATTGTATGTTACATATGTGGACGATATTTTTATTATCTGTGATGACGGTCACGATCTCAATCAGTTCCTACAAATATTCAATAAATGCTATTCAGCTACAAAGTTCACTCTTGAAATTGAAAACGAGTCTAAAATCCCTTTTCTTGATGTTGAACTTACAAGGAGAGCTGACGGAACCTTAAGAAGGTCCATCCATAGAAAACCCACATGGAACGGCCAACTGACAGGCTTCTACAGCTGTGTACAAATCAGTCGAAAAAGAAATCTAATTAGATTTCTTGTCACTCGCGTCCGACGCATCTGCAGCTCTAATACGCTGGAACAAGAAAAACTACACTCCCTGAAACGGTTATCCATCAAGATTCGTAGACAAAAACATCAAACAGAAAATCCAAAAGCAGGAGACACTATCCGTGCCAATAAAGATACTTTATTCAAGTGTTGGTTTGTAGGGATTTGATTGGTTTCAGGATTTCATCATGAGCTGACATTAGTTAGAGAACCATTGGAAAACCTGGGAGTACTGGACAGCTGTTTCGTCCTAGTTTGGGACTCTTCATCAGTACGCACCCACCGGGATTAGAACCCAGGACCTTCCGGTTACAAGGCGAGCTCGTATACCATTAAGCCACTGGGACCCGATCCAATGGTCCTTGAATTCTAACTTCTGCCAATTCACGACATAGCGCGACCGCTAGCCAATGTCTTCGGCGAGTATTTGTCCTCACACCCAACCAGCTGCACCTTACTGGTCACGATACTTTATATGAACCTCGACTTCATACGTGACTTACTCAGTGATTTCCTTAGGAGAAGAATTTCCCCTTTCTTTAAGAAGAACTTGCTTTGCGGCAACATTGGGAGTAGTGTTCTCCAGTCGCCCGCTGATCTACAGAAGCCCAAAGGACAAGATTCCGCTCCTGACCACTTCTATGTGTATATATCAGTTCATCTGTTGCTGTTCAAACGCGCATCCTGTCAAACAGGGTCAAAGAACACTATCCAGGGTAGCTGCAGAAAGGAAGGAGTGGCTGTATTAGGAGTGCAATAATCGAACATCTCGTCAACATTGGTCATTCCATCTCATCAAACGTCTCCTTCAAAGTGATCTACAAAGTGAAGAACAACCTTCTAAAGACAGTACGATCCCATCTTCTTTGCACTGCAGAAGCCCTAGCCATTCAGTTGGAAGAACCAGAACTATGCATTCAAAAGAAAATTATTCAACAACTTCTACTCTCATGGTAACAACTCCGTTGATTTAACTTTTGTTTGTATGCTTATTTTTTCCTAACTACTTAAAACCCTTACGTAAAATTCCGTATGTTATTTTGTTTCCATGTACACCCTGAGTACAACTCTGTCATCAAACTATCCACGTTATTACGTAACTCTTGTCTAACAATCATTTGTGACAACTCATCACTTTTGTTACTATCCTCTTATATCAACATCCAATTCACCTGAACTTATTAATTGTATTTTCATTTGACAAATTTAATGCACACACACATACAAAACAACAATATATATACATATATATATTTACGGCTGTACAGCTATGAAAATGAATTCGCCGCCGAGAAGAGACTCTTCACTGAACTACTGGTCTTCTGTCTATGGTAAATATGCGCAGGATTATGATGCTATCAGTTCCCTACACCGAAGCAACTGAAATGAGGCTGAGTGAGATCCGAGACTCATTAATAAAGATACAATGAAGTTAAGAAGCCTAACATAAAAATGTAGGCGTAACATGAAGGTTCGCTGATGATTCACGACCAATAAGGAAACCAAAAATGTGTGTTTCGTCCAATCTGGAATGAATCTAAACATTCTAATGGGGAATTTTGTTCCCACAGGAACCCACAGCATGATCCGCTAAGCTTCTCAGTAATAAGTTCGAAAGTAAAGCAATATTGAGGCATGCAACAGTGAATCCGATGAATTCCGATATCATTGGGAAATCATACGAAAAAATGTATGATATCAAAACATTCACACAGAAAGTAGATGCAGTTTATTAACCTAGTGCATTACCCTTTAGTACTGCAAAAAAGATTGGTCTGTTTATCTGTCTGTTTTCGACATAGAACTGCACCGATGTGCAGCAGTTCAAGTCGCCACACTCTCTCCATGTAGCACACAAAGCAAGAGATGAAAGTAGAAGAAATGCATAACAGAAACAGTAAACAGAGGTGTGAGACAAAGGAATAGAAATAACGAAGAATAATACAGTTTCATTGGAAATCATAAGTCACAAGGAGTGAATGCATCTGCACTATTGGCAAAGATGAGTTTGAGCCATATCACCAATTGTCACCAGCAGCCATTGGTTCTTACAATCCCAAGGACCCCAACCAGGAAATCTAAACCTTCCTACGTGGCTGACTTAAACTAACTGTTGTGGATTTGATTGACTGGTGCAGTCATGTTTTGGTTTGACCGCCACTAACTCTTTTCCAGCCTGACCCTATATCAGCTAACATTGCCCACAGTCGAGGAAGGCGATAACTAGGCATACGTAACACATGTCTAACCATCTCAGTCGACGTAACTTTACAATCTCGACCGATGCCTAACCTGAATATTGCTCACCTTATTATACCACTTCACACGGGAGATAGAACGCTGGCACCTATGATCAAAGACAGCTAATCTTTTCATGTCTTCCACTCTCAATGGCCAGGTCTCACTCACAGCCATAAAGTAGGACAGAGAGAACTGATGAGCAGTACACACGCCCTTTGGTCTATAACTGGATATCACGTCTACTCGAGAGAAGGCGTAAACTGGCATATGCGAAACTAGCCCTCTGTATCCGTGCTGAGATTTCGTCAGAGGTCAACACTTAAGCGCTGGCTGATGGTACTTCCCAAATAAGTGAAGTGGTCGACGTGCTCTACTACTTCACTTCCTATTTCTAAACTAGGAGTCAGTGTAGTCCAGTCCTGTAACATCATCTGGCATTTGGCCGGAGCGAATCGCACGCCAAACATTCGTAGATTGCAGCTCAAGGTGTTCAGAAGACTCTGCTCTATATTGTCAGCGTCCTCGCCTAGAAGGACTATATCGTCTGCATATTCCAAGTCAACGAAACTGGAATCGCGTTAGAGTCCCGTTAGGAATAGAATAATCCAATTAGTGCAGCTACATTTATCTCACGTCTTCTGAGTGGTACGAAATGCATCCTGAGATCCACCTTTCACCATTATTTATCGAATAACATCAAAAGACGAAATCAAAAGGCATCATCGTCGATAAGTCTGCACTAAGAGCCTATCCATATATACCAATGGGCGTCTATCAGTTTGATTTGGCAGAGGGAAATTTAAAAACCTCAGTAGAAGAAAGACTTCCACACAACAAGATTCAGTGTCAAAACAAACTTTCGCTTAACAGGTCGGACTATGCACACTGTTTTGCAGTTTGGGATAAATAGTGAAAAACATGTTAAGAATAAAACCAATCAACGCACTTGTTTAATAGACTTGATCTGTGGAGGTATACTAATTCTTGTGATTACTCCAATATCCTGACCATACTTTTCACCAGCGATTATTTCTCGGCCACACTGTCCAAAAACATTATTACCCAAACTGAAAACAAGTGGAGGCGTATTTTCAGATGATTCTTTTAAATTTTCATATGAAATAATAGTATGAGCCCGGCCGCACGCCACATGAGAAGGCCGATATATTTGCTTTTCTGCCTGAGTAAGATGTATGTCAACTCTCACGGGTTCAGGAACAACATTTACTGAATCGCCTGAAGCAAGTTTGCCTTGAATTCCCGAAGACTGAAATAAAACAAGTGTAAACAACATTTAAAACATTAAAAGGAAGCAGTGAGTTGACAGCTTATTGGCGGAAAATGAATGTGTACGTTAAAATCACTATCGGTAAAAAAATAAGCTTGAATAATACGCCCCTAAAATAAATGTACAGTCCCATCGAATATTTTACAATATTGTATATAAAAGATTTCTGATTTTAAAAGATGTGCACAGAACGGATCGAGCATTCCGTTAAGCATAAAATACAAGTGGTATCGGTAGTTCATGAACTTTCATCATTTAGCGACTACTGAATCTACACAATGACGACTCACCACTAGGACCTATTCTTGAAATGTCAGAATCTTCTACCGTCGAAACAATCAGTGGTTAAACAAACTTTTGAAGCCAATTAAAAGACAATCTTCTTTTGATTCACTTTGTGATCCTTTATAATATTTCGCCAATCACAATTAGAAGATTACCCCTTTCCCATATATACATGTGAATGTACCTGTTCTAATGAATAAGACATTGTCGTACCTAATCGCTATTTAAAAAGCTCTTACTAAGACGCATCTTAAACGTCGACTTTTCCTTCAGCAATTAAATGTACAATCCAAAGGTTGAAATAGCTACAGGTTTAACTCTAAACCCTTGCATGTTTCATCACATCGAAAATTCACAGCAAGCACCTGAGGACAATGATTTAGCCACTCTAATTTTTACAAGAGGTATGCAGATGACACCTTTAGTATATCCAAAGATACTGATAATTCAGAAGAGATCTTATGTCATTTTAATAGCAGTAGTAGTATTCCGCTCAATAACCACATACATGTTAGTGCAAGTGCCAAAGAGCCAAACCTCCGGTGCGAAGGCTCATGGCGTTAGCTGGCTACCCAAGCAGCGATAGATCAAACTTGATTTGAACTCGTGACCCAATTTGTTGAAAGTAAAGTTCACAGACCAATAATAAGCTACAACGCCATCAGCTACACCATTCGTGTTTTACAGAGCTGATAGTAATGAAAGATGTAGTTTTTTTATTATAAAGTGGACATGGTGCTAAGTAACGCCCTGTAAACATCTTAATGATGACGAATTTTCATTGCTTGTATAACGTGAGTGATTGACTGTGACACTAAGGTAAGGCTTTTACTGCCTAACACCTGTCACGATAATTACACAAACTCTGGCAGTGCATTTTTACTAAATGCCTTTCGTTCATTCCTTTGGTCAAAATATGTTGAAGCATTGTTTAGTTGTTACGAGAATATTAGGAAAGCGTTTTATACAAATCAAGGCTTTGTACTCAAAATCATACAGGCACTTACGATCTTACAGAGAGTTGCTATTCAAACTGATGATATGTAATTTTACCCCCACTGCGGATGCCCATTCATTATTTTTACTGGGTTTTATTGTGGACTTAATTGCAGAGGTGGTCCACTTTAACTATAATTTACAAGCTTCCGTACTATCGCGAGTACAGAACAATGCTGAGTGTTAAGTATTCCAGAACACTCGAAGGTTCAGGTAGGATTAACAAGTGTTTATCACTTAACGAGTGTAAAGTGATGCTCTAGAATATATCAGATACTGCATACATGTGTTATAAAGGTTTCATAGGTAAGCATGCTAATCTGGTTTTCTTAAAGTTTGATTTGAATCACTTATAAAGCACAAACTGTACAGTGATACGTTTAAATACTTCATGGGACTTGTAAGTGATCACTTTACTTTGAGTTTAATGAAAGTCACTTATTGAATTGCTAAATAATGATTGACACAATTAGTGCGATTATTTGTTACTGGTGCTTTATCACCACATAGCAACCCTCCTACGTTGAATAAATACAAAGTATAACGCATTTTCTAGCTCAATAAGTAATTAAATCTGTAATCAAGGTTGGTGTGTATATACCAATACGAAAGCCTCCATAAATGTATTCTTTTTCAGGCAAACGAAAAGACGTCAGCACCATCTGCCTGTTTTCAACATAGAACTGCACCGATGTGCAGCAGTTCAAGTCGCCACACTCCCTCCTTGTAGCACACAAAGCAAGAGATGAAAGTAGAAGAAATGAATAACAGAAACAGTAAACAGAGGTGTGAAACAAAAGGAATAGTAATAACGAAGAACAATATAGTTTTACAGGGAGTGGATGCATCTTCGCCGCCCATTGAGAACGATGAGTTTGAGCCATATCACCAATTGTCACCAGCAGCCATTGGTTCTTACAATCCCAAGGACCCCAACCAGGAAGTCTACACCTTCCAACATGGATAGCTTAAGCTAAGTGTTGTGGATTTCACTCATTGGTGCCATGTTTTGGTTTGACCGCCGCTAGCTCTTTTCCAGCCTGACCCTATGTCAGCCAACATTGCCTGTCACGCAACAATAACCCTCTTTCTGCTTCAGGTACCCGAAGAATCAATATCAACACCAAAATGAGCATCATCGCATAGCTGTCCATATCACATCTCACTTCTTAACGTTAAGTGGAACTCAACATGAGCAAAAGGCAAAACAGGTGGTGTATCACATTTTAAAGCCATAAAACCAGATATGTCGAAAGAAAGAAAAAGAACAAATAGGAACTCACAAATTATGGAACAATTCAGAAAAATAAAACCTAATTACACTAGTAAATGTTTCTTCTCGTATTCTGAACTAGGAGTTACCTCTGATCTCTAGGTGTGTATACCATTACCCACTTATCCAGTCCAAAATAATCGGGATGTGACTTGAACCCTCTGTTAAATAATTGACCACAAGGCCACAACTTTACAACACTACAGTTCATAACAGCAGCTCAATCTTCACTGAGATCGACTCTAGAGTACATGGAAAGTTTCCAATTATCCGTTTCTAAACATTTGTGGACCCTAAACAAGAAATCACAGCTCACTGTGTTATTCAAATAACATCGAAACTGTGTGAATTGTTGTCAGGTTTTTGTCCAGCTATCCTTAGTGACTTTTGCATCTATTTCTTGTATAACATCATATATATGCATAAGCAGTGAGAAAGTATGTATGAAATGTGGTCCAGTCGCTCCAGTTCGAAGATTTCTACAAATTCATTGTGATATGCCTCCTCACTCAAATTCATTTTAATTGTAACGTCGAGCAGAGCAAACATTAAGCCAGAGGTAGCCAAATAGTCAAACTCATCCGGAATTCTAGTAAAATTTTGAAGTCATACAATGGAGACTTGTAGGGGTACATAATTCCCCAGAATTACTGGCCACAGCATTCATCAATGGACATCGGATGCTGACCCTCACTATTTTAGTCAACTTGTTTAGATGAAGGCCCGGGGTCACGCGTCCATGCTATTTGGTACGCTGTGGCGTTACGTTTGGTTGTTCGTGCACGATCCCTAGCAATCGTCCTCGTACTACGATTTCGGTCCCGAAGTATACTTCGTATTTCAGATGATCAATTTGGTCAAAGCAATAAGACGTAATTTGTCTGAATCATGTAATGTACCTGTGCAAAACATTTCAAACAATCTGATCGCACGACTTGTCGTAGGAATATTTACGAAATTAATAGTTAGGTGGGGAAATAGACTTAGGTCAAGTGAAAGGGACATACTGAAGGTCAAAACAACAATGAAGACCACTAAACCGAACCCTGGTATCAATACATAGTTTACCAAGGAAGGCATGGTGTGATGAATTGTTTTTGAACGCATAAAAGTGGTTTAAACTTCATCATTGCTAGGGCTTCAACAAACACATCTTACAAGTAGGTTTAAAAGACTCGTGAACATAAATATTGTGTTCTGCCCCTAAAATATGTATCGCAATAGAGAAGTTAGGTCGCCTCTTCACACCATTAATGGGTTCTGGGGATCACACCGTGCGAAATGTGCTGCGCAAATACACTACACAATTCACAAGAATTACGTCTAGGATCAATTTGTTGTTTTGCTTTGTCTTTGGTCTACACAGAACCAATATTATAGAAATTGTGGGCATAAGATCTTGAGTTAGTACACATACTACCCATGGACGTCAATACTCAGTCTCTATAGACTAAATCAAGCAGTTGATCTGCCCTCTTAAACTCGTTGCATACTGATGATAAATACCCTGAAATAATACTTGCCTATATACATTTGCTTACTGAACGTTGGATAATAACTAAACCATCTATCTGTTTACTGAAACCTATAAATTAAATGTGCAATGCAAACAAGAAGTTGAATTATGTCACTCTAATGCTTGTTCCCAATCATTAAGAAGCCGAATTAGCTTTTACCACTCGGTATCGAAAATTAATTCCAATATCCAATATCGTTTTTACGAGCTAGTATAAACCAATTTGATTTCTTTGTGCTCGCTTCTTGATTGTGAGGTATAGGTTCTTGATCTTCGGTAAACTTCTGCGTAGCTTGTCCCGCCACTCGACTGTCGTAGCTTTGGTTGACTCCAAAGGGAGTAGTGCTGGGATTAATTATATGTGGTTTGTAGTATGAGGTATGTTAAGACTGTTACTACTGTGATTGGAGTTGATCCTTTCGCCAGTTAGTCCTTCGGTATTGTCGACAAGAGAAAAGAGATAGTAATAATAATAATAGTAATAATAATAATAGATATAATTAGTGAAGCTATTCAGACTAAGAGACAGAAACGAAAATAGGAAACGTAACAACAGTCAGCTCATGAAGTTTGAAGAATAATATATATATCGGTAATAGTAATAATAATAATAATAATTATAATATTAATAAGTTGTCAGGAGAGTAAGACGGGAGAGAATGTAAAGAAGTAAAATGACGAGTTTAATTATCTACCCTGATTGGTAAATGCGATTTTAAGGAGATAGGCCATTTGGATGCAGTCCTTGTATCGCTGCATGGTTGTCCAGCCTTCGCTTAAAGGCGTCCAAAGACGGTGCCATAGCTACATCTGCCGGTAAGGAATTCCAGGGACGACAAACCCGCAGTGAAAAGAAGTGGGAGCGCACCCGGGTCCTTGCCCTCTGGTGAGCTATCCTTCTGGGATTTC